TGTAATTAAAAAATAAGTCATCTGGTAGGAGTATTTCTCCACTTGGAAGTTTGAATACTCATGATGAATCTCTTATTAGACTTTTACAGTTCTTTTTGAAATGTCACAGATCAGTGAGGCAGTTAAAGTAGATCTTATTATCCCCAATTTATTATGAATTAAATGAAGTACAGAGACATGAATGTGATTTGCCCAATTTCCCATAGGATACTGATAGCACATGATCGAGGTTGAGAGCCCAGGCTGTAAAATGGAACTTCAGGTCAAATATCATTTCAGCTATTACTATCTGCCTGACCTTGGGCAAGTTATTTAACCTTCCTGTGCCTCAGTTTCCTTATCTGTACACAGAGATCATCATCATCATCATAATACTCATGTCATGGACTTTTGTAAAGATAAATGAGTTAATGTATGGAAAAAAAAGTCTACCAACCCATTATAACTACACTATTTTCTCAAAGAGCTTAAGGAATTGAGAAATGCCTCGAATATATCAACCAATATTGAAATGATCCTCTTGGTATTCAGTGTCAGCTTTGGTTAATGCAGCGTTTTCCAATGTCAGTTCAACAGGATAAACCTTTCATAAGATACACCTAGGAAGATAGACACTGGTCATGACAGTATTTGGAAAACACAGTGAAAGGCAACCCTCATCACAGAGAATCATAACTGCACATTCACGCAATACAAGTTCTGTAGAAACCTGCAATGAACAACTCACTTGACATTCATCAACTCAGTATTCTTCACATGTATTTGACCATAGAATGTTCATTTCTCCAAACATCAATTACCCAACAGCACTAGTGTCCCACAGATAATACTGATCATGTAGGAAAATACTGCAGCAAAACATTGGAGGTGCAGCGATTGTCTACAAATCAACCAGGGCTTCCAACTGGTAGCAACTGGTTCAGTCACAACCAATGCAGCAAAATCAGAACACATTCAAATTTGTAAAACTGTGTGTTCCAGGACAATAACCAGAACAGGAAAAACTACGGGTTGGAGCCCTGGAATGAGAGACTCAGAAGAAGCCTCGGGAGCCCTTTCAGGAACCTGATGCAGGAGATTGCATTGTTGCCAGGACTGTGGAGAATGACGCACATTCAAAAGCAATAGAGCCGGCCACCATCTTTGAGCATCATTGTTTCCAACCCTGCCATTCAAACAATTTAGCTGCAGTGCAATACACACGCTGCCCTTCTAGAAGGGAGAAAGTCTCTATCTAGGTATTGACCCACATTTGACAAATTTAGGTCCATTTCAGTTTTGCTTCATTGACAACGACTGAACTGGGAAGAACTGGTTCAAAAGCCTAGGAATGAACCAAGGAAATTCTTTGGGGTTCCTGTCATTCAAAGGAACAAGGTAAAATTTCAGTTCCATGTAACAGGAATTCCAGCTGTGGTTTCTGCCTTTTGTTGTTGCTATTAGGTAGTATTGAGTCAGTTCCAACTCATGGTGACCGAGTGTAAAACAAAACAACAAAACCCTCTTACGTTGTGCCGTCTTCGCAGTCATTGCTATGTTGGAGCTTACTGTTGCAGCCACTGTGTCAATCCATTGCATTGAGGGTCTTCCTCTTAACTGCTGACTCTACTTTATCAAGATTCATGTCCTTCTCTGGGTATTAGTCCCTCCTGATGATATGACCAAAGTTCATGAGATGAAGTCTCACCATCCTCATTTTAAGGAGTATTTTGACTGTACTCCTTCCAAGACAGATTTGCCACTCTTCTGGCACTCCATGACATAATCAATATTCTTAACATTGCCAACATTATAATTCAAAGGCATCAGCTCTTCCTCAGTCTTCCTTATTCATTGTCCAGCTTTTGTGTGTATTTGAACTAATTGAAAATACCAGAGCTGGAGTCTGACACACCTTAGTTCTCAAAGGGACATTTCTGCTCTTTAACACTTTAAAGAGGTCATTTGCAACAGATTTGTTCAATGCAATGTATCGTTTGATTTCATGGCTGCTGTTGCCATAGGTGTTGACTGTAGATTCAAGTAAAATGAAATCCATGACAAGTTTAATATTTTTTCCATTTATTATGATGTTTTGTATTGGTTGTATTTTTTGTTTTCTTTTTGGATGAGATTTAAAAAAAAAAAAAAAAGGTATAATCCATACTGAAGGCTGTAGTCTTTGATCATCATCAGTAAGTGCTCCAACTCCCTTCACTTTCAGCAAGCGAGGTTCTGTCATCTGCATATCACAGGTTGTCAATGAGTCTTCTTCCAATCCTGATACTATGTTCTTCTTCATATACTCCAGCTTCTCAGATTATTTACTCAGCATACAGATTGAATAAATATGGTGAGAGGGTACAGCCCTGACAGACACCTTTCCTGATTTTAACCCACGCAGTATCCCCTTGTTCTATTTGAACAGCTGTCTCTGGATCTATGTACAGGTTCCGAATGAACACAAATAAGTGTTCTGGGATTCTCATTCTTGCAATATTATCCATAATTTGTTATGATCCACACAGTCCAAGGCCTTTGAATAGTCAATAAAACCAAACCAAAAACCAAACTCACTGCTGTCAAGTTGGACCTGACTCATAGTGACCCCTCTTTGGGTTTCCAAGGCAGTATCACTACAGAAGTAGATTGGCCAATCTTCCTTCCAAGGAGTGGCTGGTGGGTTCAAACCACCAGCCTTCCAGTTAGCAGTCAAATGCCTTAGGTGCTATGCTACTAGAGCTCCCTAGTCAATAGAGCACAGGTAAATAAACATCTTTCTGGGATTCTTTGCTTTCAGCCAAGGTGTTTGACATTAGCAATAATATCCCTTGGTCCATGGCCTCTTCTGAATACAGCTTGAATTTCTGGCAGTTCCATGTTAATCTAATGCTGCAATCATTTTTGAATTATCAACGTAACGTTACTTGTGTGTGATAATTGATAGTGTTGGGTGACTTTCACATTCTATTCATAAGGTTTAACTGGCCGATTTGGGGGAAGCAGATTACCACCAGATCCTTCTCCTCGTCTGTCTTAGTCTGGAGGCTCGGCTGAAACCTGTTCTGCACAGGTGACCGTGCTGGTACTCTGAAATCCTGGTGGTATGGCATCCAGCCTCACAGTAGCGTGCGAACCACCACGGTGCAGCAAACGGCTGGAGAAGCGGGGGTTGTGCCTTTTAAGCCTATAATACTCTTTCAGAAAAAGAGACACGAACATTTGGGCAACATGCTTTCTGTCCTTCTGCAGGTAAGGAAACACAGAGAGGTGATTTTCAGTTCTTCTGTCATTGCAGTGCCCTCCTTTGAAATACCCTCTTGCTCATCTGTGCATGCACCTCCTGGAGACCTGTCACGGTGCAGCTCGAGTGCCCATCAAACTGGCTTTGAATCTCCTCACTGCCCTCCTCTGAAATGTCACCACATGTTATCACTTGGGTCTTGGTGTAATCATGGTTTATGTCCTTGAACCCCACCAGACTGAACTCCCTTGAAGGCAGCAACTACTTCTGCCCTTTCCGTTTTGCACTCTACCCACCATAAAATTAAAAAAAAAAACCTCACTGCCATCGAGTTGATTCCAACTCATAGCGACCCCTCCTTGGGTTTCTAAGGCAGTATCACCACAGAAGTAGATTGTCCAGTCTTCCTTCCGAGGAGTGGCTGGTGGGTTTGATCTGCTAGCCATCTGGTTAGCAGTCAAATGCCTTAGGTACTGTGCCACCAGACCTCCTCTACCCACCATAGGTAGGTGCATAGTACATAGTGCATAGTGCACAGCAGAGTTCAGTAACAGTCGTTGAAAGGATAAATAGCCAAACGATCAAGGGGTACAATAGCAAATGACCTTTCTCTAGCCTACAAAATGGTAATAAACCAACTATGTTCTGATACCAGTACCTTGAAGCAAATGACCATCATGAAAAATAGTTATCATTATACTTACACTCCTCAGCCATGTGCCTATGAGTCCTTTCCCCACCTCGCTGTGTCCAGTCACTGTTTTTCTTCACAGAGCTTACTTTGCTCCACCTGAATCCAGATATGGATCAACATTACCTCCATACCACCCAGAGAGGCTCAATTAGCAGAGCAGTTTTTTCCACGTGAAGCGTACATAGCTGAATAGCCAGAAAGAAAGGGAAATATGTGGGTGTGGGGGGGAGGAGTGTGTGTGGGTGTGTGGGTGTGTGTGTGGGGGGGGAGTGATTGAGAGGGAATGGAGAAAATGAGGATAGGGAGAGCAACTTGAAGGCGACTAACACAAAGGCAGAGACAGAGGCGGAGGCAAGTTGGCTCCTGGCTTAAAGGTAAGAAAAGAGGAACTACCAAATCTTTAAACCCAGTGCTTTTCCCAATCCCTCTCCCTGGAAAAGATTTTAAAAGGAAAGACAAATGATTCGAAAAGACATAAGCTCAGCATTTACACCATGGGAATTACAGAAGAGTGGTTTGGATAGGCGGGTTTCAGTGCACCTTAATCCTAAATTCACCTCTGCCCAGAAGGACAATGTCGTGGCCTGCTAAGAACCCATGAACAGCCTCTGGAGCTCCAAGGTAGGACACAGACTACATGGGATGTTGAGGACAGTAATAACCGCATTCACTGCCATGTCTCATATTAGAAGTCACAAAGAACGAATCATTTAATCCTCATAGCTATGCCAGAATCGTCCTCCAGCTTAAAAGAACTACACAGCAATAGACTCAAACACACTGATGATCATGAAGAGGGCTCAACTACAATTTTGTTCAGTTACAACACGAGGTTGCACTTATGTGTCAGCACCCACGCAATGGCAACTAACAACCACAATAGCAGAAATTAGATTCTTCAGGTATTTTCATGCCCATTTCACAGATGAAGAACCTGAGGTTGAGAAATGGATAATGACTTTTCAAAAATGATATGAGCATGAAGCAGTAATAGTATAAAACCAATAGCTTCTCGGTCACCTCCTCTGTATCTTTCAGACAATATATTCATTTGTCTCCCCCAACAGAGTTCCAGATGAACACTCAGAGTACTTGTTGTGTTTGGGGCAGCAAGAACCTCATCATTGCTCTCTTCAAAGCATCCTTAAGCTCTCTGTTCCTCATGCTGTAGATGAAGGGGTTCAGCACAGGGGTGATGAATGTGTAAACCACAGGCACTACCTGGCCCCTCTCAGGAGAGTAGCTGGAGCTGGGGCACAAGTAGATGAGGCTTCCACATCCGTACTGGAGGAGGACCACAGTGAGGTGGGAGGAGCACGTGGAGAAGGCCTTGCGCCTCCCCTCTGCAGAGCGGATCTTCAGGATGGTGGCCACAATGAAGACATAGGAAAGAGTGATGAGCAGGAATGGGATGGTGAGGACAGTGACGCTGACCACAAACACAGTGGCCTCTTGAACCTGGGTATCTGCACAGGCTAGCCTCATGACAGCGAGGGTATCACAGTAGAAGAGGCTGATTTCTTTGCTGCTACAGAAGGGGAGTTGGAAGATGAGCACAGTCAATGGCACGGCCAAGATGAATCCAAGAACCAGAGACCCCAGGGCCAGTTGGACACACAGCTGCCACCTCATGATAAGAGTGTAATGCAAAGGGTGACAGATGGCCACAAATCGGTCATAGGCCATGATGGCCAGCAGAATGCAGTCAGTGCTGCCCAGGAGAATGAAGAAGAACATCTGGGCACCACATCCAGGAAGGGAGATTGTGGTTGTGTCAGGGGACAGGATGCTGGCCAGGGTCAGAGGGGCAATGGTGGAGGAATAGCAGATCTCCAGGGCTGCCAGGTTGGCCAGAAAGAAGTACATGGGGGTGTGGAGAGAATGATGGGTCCAAGTGATGAGGGAAATGGAGACGTTGCCACTGATGCTGACCAGGTACATAATCAGGAAGGTCACAAAAATCAGCACCTGCACCTCAGGGAGCTTGGAGAAGGGGCGGAAGTAGAAGTAAATCATCACAGTTTGGTTGGTCTCCTCCATGCGCTCAAAACATTGGGCTTGTTTATGGCACAGGCACTACCCCTGAGAACAGATAAATGTTAGGATGTAGACACTACTGCTGGATAACCCATGCAATTCTTAGCTTTACACTTCCTGGGCCTTTTCAACTCCAGTCATCTTAACCTCCACTCTAAATTCAGCTTCTCACTTCGTCCAAGAGCTTTTTGTTACAATCATCAAAATCTGAAATGACAGTCTCCTGTTTCCATACCACAAACCCTCTCCTTCCAGTGTTCTTGGTTCTTGAATCCTTGGTTATCAAGAGTACAGCATACGGAGTTGGGCCATCTAGTCCCCAGTGCCTGGTCTGCCAGTTAACTACTGTATGTATGACCTTGGAAAACTAGCTGAAACTTTCTCATTCAGTTTCCTTATCTTTAAAACAAGACTGACAGTGAGACACAACCCCTGGGTTGCTGTGAGAAGTAGTTGTGTCTGGTCCCTAGTAAGCACTCCGTAAATATTGGCCATAGTCATTAACACTAAACTTTTTTTTTTTTTTTAATTTTATTGTGCTTTGGGTGCAAATTTACAAAGCAAAATTGTTTTACATTCAACAGTTCGTGCACATTTGATTTCACACCCCAATTACCATCTTCGACCAAAAAAACTCTCCTACCCTCCCCTCCCTGTGATTACCCCCTCCCTGTGCCCTTCTTAACTATGCATTCCTGTCTGTTCAGATTTCCCTCCATGGGCATGCTGCCCCTCTGGTGTCTCATGGCTGGTTGCTCAAAGGGGTGCATCTTCCTAGAGTAGATGGGTTCATCGCCCTAGGTTAGGTGTTCTGCATGTAGGCCTTTCTACTGTTGGGCTGAGAGCCAATCCATGGGAGTGAGTCCATTTCTAGGCCCAAAGAGTAACCCTGGGGCCATAGTCTTGGGGGTTCCACCAGACTCCTCTTCCTCTTCTAGACCACTTGATGCCTCCCAAAAGGGGGGAAAACTAAAAATAGTAATAATATAAAAGAGAAAGCTGTTGATGTCGAGTCCACTCCGCCTTATAACAACTCCGTAGGACAAGGTAGAACTGTCCTATGGGATTTCTTAGGCTGTGGTCTTTATGGAAGCAGACTGCCACATCTTTCTCCCACGGAGTGGCTAGTGGGCTCAAATTGCCACTAGCCTTTCAGTTAGCAGCCAAGCGCTTTACCACTATGCCACCAGGGCTCCTTTTGATGTTTCAACTTCTCTGAAATACCCTTCCTCAGGCTTTACACCCTGTCCCATCCAATATAGATACATGGTTCATTTTTTCAATTTGTCTTTCTCCATTCCTGTCACCACCCTTGGCTACGTGACCTACTATCAGCCCTGTTGTTGTTGTTGTTAATGGCATTGAGTCTAGCCCTGACTCACAGGGACGCATGCACAATATAGCAAGATGCTACCCAGTGCTGTGCCATCCCCAGGATTAGTTGGGGATCTGATCACTGTGCTCCACAGAGTTCTCATTGGCCGATTTTCGTAAGTAGATCTCCAGGCCTTTCTAGTCCATCTGAGTCTGGAAGCTCTGCTGAAAACTTTCAGTGTCATAGAAACACTCAAGCCTTCACGGGTGATGACTGCACATGACAGACATTGTCTGGGTATTGAACCCAGATCGCACACAAAACCAAAAAACCAAACTCACTGCCATCGAGTTGATTGCGACTTATAGCAACCCCTCCTTGGGTTTCCAAGCCAGTATCTCTACAGAAGTAGATTGCCCAGTCTTCCTTCCGAGGAGTGGCTGGTGGATTTGAACCACCAGCCTTCTGGTTAGTAGTCAAATGCCTTAGGCACTATACCACCAGAGCTCCCACAAGTTGCACACAAGGAAGGCAAAAATTGTACCGTACTTAACTTTATATCCACCATCTCTATTTCAGGCTGAACATGGCTAAAGATCACAAAAGGCATTAACCGTTGCCATGACAGAGTTACAGTGGCACTATGAGCATTACCACTGTCCCCAATCTTGAGGTCCTGGTCAGCTCCACTTGCTGTTCCCAGTCAAGAAAGACTATTGCAAATTTCCCCAGTCTTCTCAAATTCTCTCTTCTGCTCCCTCCTCCATCACTCCATAGCAGATGACCTGCCTCCAACGTCCAAGACAAAAAAATAAAGAAGCCACCTGGAGGTAATTCAACTTCATTCTCACCAGCTCTGATCCTATAGCATTCTCTGCCTATCCATCTGTCCTTAACGCCTTCTTATATGTCTCCACAGAAGTGCCCCTCCTCCTCTATAAGGCAAATTATAGTCTCAGCCCCTCCTGCTTCCTCAGGGATTGTGTAGCTTTATCTCTGGTATCTGTCTCTGCTCCCTTCTTCAACACCTTTATCTCCCATGACACAAAGCAACTCTATCTTATGTTATTTTCTACGTGTCTCCCTATCTGACTCAATGGCAACTGGTTATTTTTAGTGATCCTCAACCTCAGTATCTCTTTTTCTATTTAATTTTTGCATTTTATCCCATGTAAAGTGGTTTTGATTTCAATGTTACCGAGGGTTTTATTTGAGGCATTGGTGGTTTCCATAAGGTAGAACCCTTGCCTTACATGTAAAACACGTGGTTTTGATTCCCAGCTACGTACCTCATGCAGAACCACCACCTGTCTGAGTGGAAGCTGCATATTGCTAGGATGTTGAACAGGTTTCAGCAGAGCTTTCATACTAAGAAGGACTCACAAGAAAGGCCTGGTCATCTACTTCCACAAATCAGCCAATGAAAAACCCTACGAAGTACTATAAACTGAGCCACAAATACATGATCATGGGGACTGCGCGGTACCAGGTGCCATTTTGTTCCATTGTGTGTGGAGTCACCATGAGTCAGGGGCTGACACCCTGCCAGCCAACAACAGCAACAACAGGGCTTCACTGCCAGGTACTCTCTTTGTAGGTGCATTTAAAGCACAGTAAATATATCAGACAAATGGAAACTTATTCTTGCCTTTTGGGTCTTCATCCAAGGCACTGAAGAGTGGATGAGAATTATCTTTGCTTTCCAGTTCCAAGTTTGCTCCTCCTCAGAGGCCTGAAAGTGACAAGACTGTGAACTTTGGTTGTAGCTAAGTGTTCTCTTCTTTTATCCATTTTATGTTTTTGCTGCTGTACAATACCTTACTAGCCAAAGGTCAGGTAGGTAAACTCCAAGTCTCTTCTCACCCAGGAGATATAGGTGCACACCCTCTGCAACGCTGGTCCTCTTTAATGGGTCTCTTCCATGTCACCAGTACTGACTCCTCGGCCCTCATCCACAGTGCATGCCCTTCCTTCTCCATAAAGACTTTTGCGTACTCACCTTCCTCCCTCACAGGGAGCAATGCATAGGGCTCTTCATGCATCTGTCCCTTGAGAGGTATTTACTCAGCATCTGCTACCTACCAGGCACTTGTGTGGAACTCACAAAGTAAGCAGATTACATTGTAATATCTGGTATCCCAACAAACTGTGCCCTCCTCTTGCAAGGGAGGGTGAACAACTCCTTTTCCTACTCTCAGACAATCTAGGAAACTGATCACATGTCTAGAGAGAGAAAGACTTATCCCTCTTCTCCCATTCTCAATGATAGTGTCTGTTTTGAAGATTTACTGTGGCTAGTATCCTTGGCATAAATAACGTCACTTCCTTAGCTACAAGAGGTTAAATTAATGTTCCTGTTCACATGTAACTCCACAGCAGCAGGTGCCTCCTGATGTCAAAATCCCTCAAGGACAGTAGGGTGCATTGGTCCATTTTCCTGGGTCTAGACTACACAACAGCTCAATTGCCTGGTCTTTCCTTTAACCGTCTTACCTTCTTCCCAGAGTGATCAGCAAACACATCCTTCCCTGAAGCTGAGTGAAGGCGAAGATGGGATCTACTCCTTAATAACCTAGAATCTTTGGAGGCTGAATGTCAGAGAAATAATCCATCACCGATGGAAACACACATTTAGATCCTATTAACCCTTCTATGTTCCCTCTTCACAAGGGAAGAATGTGGGACTTTGAGACTTGCAGAGACAGAACTCTGGGTTATCTCTGAACTCTCCAGGAGCTCTGGTGGTGCAGTGGTTAAAGCATTCTGCTGCTAACCAAAAGGTTACCCGTTTGAACTCATGAACCACTTTGTGGGAGAAAGATGAGGCAGTTTACTTTCATAAAGATGCACAGCCTTGGAAACCTATGGGGCAGTTCTACTCTGTCCTATAGGGTTGCTGTAGGTCAGAACTGACTCAACGGCAATGGGTTTGGTTTTTTAGTTTTCTGAACTCTCACTTCTCATCTCATTTCAAGAGAATTCCCTGCCTGTTTGGTCCATAAAACCCCAAGAGTCTAACTTAACCTTCCAATTAACCATCCCCAGTAGCTCGGTATTAGAGCACAAACAGGAATTGTTTGGGGACTTTGTATTCTAAATTAGGTTAATTGCTACTAGACTTTGTTATATTTCAATGATTGCCTAAAATGTTCATTCTCCACAGTTGAGTTAGTTTAGCAAAACAGTTTTGATTTTTCCAAGTAGAAGTTAATTTGGAGCACCTAATCAAATTCCAAGAATTTTTTTAAAACTCAGTCAAGTGTACTCCGTTAAATCCAGCCAATTCTGATACATACAAATTCCCCCCACCTCCTCCAAAAAGGAAGAATAGCGCCCACTTCATGGTCTGTGGTTCCTTTGTGCTTACCCTTATGATAGCATTGATCGCTCTGTATTGTGGTAACTTTCTGAAGCAGAGTCACCCATGCTAGGTTTCAGCAAAGCGTCTAGATTAAGACAGACTAAGGAGAAGGACCTGCTGATTTACTTTCGAAAAGAAAAAAAATGCCAAAGGAAAACTTTATGAATAGTAGCAGAACACTTTCTGATACAGTACCGGAAGATGAGCCCCTCAGATTAAAAGGTATTTAAAATATGACAGGGGAAGAGCTGCCTCCTCAAAGTAGAGTCAACCTTAATGATGTGGATGGAGTGAAGTTTTCAGGACCTTCATTTTATTATGAGGCAT